CATCCTTCTCTAAATTTTACCCCTGCATGGCCCACAAAAGGGTGAGTGAACTTGGCATAGCCACTTCCCTCTCGAAATTTTAGCCCTGCGTTGCCCACAAAAGGGTGAGTCAAGTTGGGGTGACTACTTCCTTCTCTAAATTTCACCCTGCCCACAAAAGGGTGAGTCAAGTTGAAATGGCAACATCCTTCTCTAAATTTTACCCCTGCATGGCCCACAAAAGGGTGAGTGAACTTGGCATAGCCACTTCCTTCTCGAAATTTCACACTGCCCACAAAAGGACAAAAGGGTGAGTGAGTGAGTGAGTGAGAGTGAGTGAAAGTGAGTGAGAGTGAGTGAGAGTGAGTGAGTGAGAGTGAGTGAGTGAGAGTGAGTGAGTGAGTGAGTGAGTGAGAGTGAGAGCGAGAGTGAGTTTGAAGCAGCGCATCCCCGTGTACAGACGAGGTATATCATTCGCGTGTACAGATGAGTCACTTTTCGCGTGTACAGCCGGCCTCCTACCTGGATCCCTTCTTTTCTTCCTTCCCTTCCCTTCCCTTCGACGAGGTGACCAGGGACCAAGGGGACCAGGGGACCAAGGGGACCAGAGGACCAAGGGGACCAGGGGACCAAGGGGACCAGGGGACCAAGGGGACCAGGGGACCAAGGGGACCAGGACGACCATGTGGACCAGGAGCAAGCATACAAGAGACGGGAAAGGAAAATAAGTATTTTTTGATTAGTTAATTAATTTGTTGTTGATTACGTAAATAATATTTTTTTGATTCAGTAATTAATTTCTTTTTGATACACATGCCCCTACAGGCATGCCTAGTGCGCTGTTTTGTGAAGGACACTGCTTCAGCATTCTCCAACTTTGAACATTAAATAGGAAGGGAGGGGCCATGAATTACATCTACTCTTTTGTCTTAAGAGATCTTAAGAGTACACAATACACCGAAACCGATCGAAACCGTAGTAACATCGTCTTACGTCTTCCTGTTTCGGGCGTTTGGTGCACCCGTCGACCCGTCGCCTTGGAGACGGTGCCGGTGACGTGGCTCACCAACGTCTCGGCGGTTTCGAAGGCGATGGCATTCACCATCCCCGCGCAGCCCTCGGTCGCTGCACAGCGGACAACCTGGACTTGTCCAAGAACTTGGATTTTGTAGACTCAAGACATTGAGGAACCGGGAAAAAAACAAAACTAAAGAACATCTTCCGGGCCTTACAAAGAACTGACCCGAACGTTCGGGAAAATCAACAAGCACCAACCATCAAACGCGAAAAATGGTCGAATTTGACCTTCAATCGAACGAACCTTCGCGTCCGCATCAATGTGCCGTTGAGGCCGAGACCGCAAGAACGACGCCGGAGAAGATCACCAAGGGCCTCAAGGACTCCGGACGCCGGACGCCCCTTTTTCTTTGGAACCCAAAGCTACGACACGGTATAACCACCTGGAGATGAAGCGGAACCTTCCCCGAAAACTGGCTGGCACAGCTGCACCATGTATGTGTATATATAGTAAATCACCAATCCCTAAAGGGGGGGGGAGGTGGGGACCCTCGATTTAACTTCTTTTCATAATGAAAATCACATCAGTGACCCAACACCTGGTCAGCATGCTGATATTTTTCCACTGGCTGCTGTCAGCATGCTGGCTGCTGCGTTCCGCTTGCGGCAGCACCGCCCCAGGCGTACCAGGCGTACCAGCTCATTGGGGGGTCGCCAGTCCAATCCACAGCCGTGTCAAACTCCGATGATCCACACACCGCTCTGACACTGACGGTTGGCTCGGTGGCGCGAGTGGTGAAGAGGATGGACCAACGTAGATAACGCATGGGAAGAGGAAACAAAGAAAGGATGATAAAGGTCAATCACATCTTCGGTCAATCACATGCGAGTCCCTTAACAGAACAATCCAGCCCCAGCAGTTGAGAAAGCTTGGTTTGGGCTCTCATTTCATTAGGTGGTCTTTTACTACAGGACATCGTTTGGGATTGCCCATACGTTCCCCCATACACCTGATTTCGTTGCACAACCCAATGATCTTTGCCGACAAACCTCACAAAATCGCAAACAGTATTGAGTCCTTGGTATTCCTTGGGACTTCCAACTGTTGAGCCGCCATGAGCAAGCAGGACCCCCGGCATCAGTGGATCCACTTCCAAGGTGTATGCGCCAGTTTCTGTCGAGCAACGGCAGTGACGCAGGTTCTACCCGGCTTCAACATGTTCCAACGGCGGAGTGTCTCCAACTGCTTCGCACTTCAATCTTCAGAGGACAGGAAGTTAAAAGAAGAAAACAATTACACGTTGACCCGTGAGAGATTGCTTAGGGGTGCAAGACCTCCAAACAGTCCAGGCTGGTGATGTCCCAACATTGGTCTTCTCAAGTTTTGGAAGACACCTTCTGATCTATTTCCGAAAAGAGATGAAGATAGCAGGCAAAGCCCATTCTGCCCCCCTGAATGCAGTGTTGCAGGCTGCTACAACACCTTTAGAACGGCTTGCCACGTTTGAGCTCTGATTGTTCTGAAGCACTGAGGACCATCACGTGTCTTGGCCACGATCATGGAAATCTGCCTGGTTAAGGAACTTCTCCTCATCGGACAATCAACATCATGCTGACATCTTTCTCGTAGCCCAATTGGTCCAAGTGTTGGCCCAAGTGGTCCCGTGGAACACGATAAAACAGTTAAGCAAACTGGATCTTCATTGAATTATCCCAGTGAAGCTGATCCCGTTGATATCAACCCACACATACTGTATTCCTGTCTATGGGTGTGTTACATTGTCTTACATAATTCACCCAAGGAGCCACCCGGAAACTGACAAAAGGCCAACTATGGCAAGATGGACAAGAGGCATCAAATGCTTGGTAGATCAATGGTCTCCCCTGAATTCATTCCAATAATTTTGTGTGCCCTCTTCCAACTTGACCCTTCCCCAGCAGGCCATGTCAAGCACCAAACGCTCCTCCTTCCGCTGGACGTGGTTCCTTGTGTCCCCACGGTGCCCACGGTGCGCCCCGACACTTCATGGTTTGGCAGCTCCGGTCGAACCTGGGTTGCGGGACGTGGAGATGGGGCGGATGAGATCTCCCTCCAAATGATGTGTATAATATATACATATAGATGAGTTGGAGCGGATTCCTTTGATTTTTTTCTCCAGGTATAACGTTTTGGCGCTGCATCTATCTGGATCTTGTATCCAACAGATTCCAAAGCCCCGCCTGTGCCATGCTGAGGGAAGTAAACTGCCACTGGTCTTGAACCAGTGCAGCTATTGCCAAGGATTCGATCATGCGGACAAAACACTGACAAAATATGACAAAACCCAAATTGGCAACTGCAAGAAACACGCTAGTCTTGATTCGGCATTGCTAAAAAAAGACCCACAAGGCCTGCACTCAGCCTGCAGCAGTGTTGGTCACTCTAATTTGCATTTACAGCGACAGTTTTGTGGGATGAGATCAAATGTGGCCCATCTTTGAAACATACCCAACCTGGTCATCCAATTTGACACATACATGTTACATGGCTGTGCGTCATGGCACCAGGATACCGACCCGTTGACCGACTCGTCCGCTACGTGGTTGACTGATCGGGCTCCAGATTGAATGACCCATTCCGATCAAGAGCTTCCGATCTACGTGCCTGTTCACTTCTGCTGCCAACTCATCCACGTTCCCGGCTTCGTGACTGCGACGGGCTTCGTTGTCGTGTTTTTTGGACGTTTTTCCAGAGCATCCCAAAACAAATCAAAACAAACTTGTTCATGGGTGTCAATCATCCCGAAGACAGTGGAACAATACTCAACACTGCACAACACGAACCAGCTAACATGGGTGTCCTAGACTGAATCTGAACAAAGAATAAACATCCTTTGCCGCCACACAAACGAATCATGCGGTCATACCCTCATAGGTTGAATATAACATGAGTTCAACAGTTGTGGGTGGAACAGCAACCATCTCAAAGCCATCTATGGCTTGGGGCAACTGCTTGCTCCAGAAGTCCGTGAGCCTGTAAATCTGCGGGAGCAGGATGTCTATGTTGGTGACCGTCCACAATAGCACATGATCCTCGCAAAGGCGACTCATGGAAAAGCATATCAAAGCATATCAAGGCAAGTGGATGTGGCGCAAGCAGTATGGAGTATGGACACACAAAAACATGAATCAGCAATTTTGTGTTGTCCTCATGACAAAAGGAAGTCACACAAAAGCTCCCTTGGCTTCATAGATAAATATTCACCTCCCCCACCCATGGCCGCTTTGCAGGTTTGTTTCCATGTGGACCCATGGGTACAGGTCATCCAAGATATCAAGGTGCTCCCTGTCCCTTCAGACGAAAAGCAGCGGAATCCGCTGGCGGAATCCGACTTGATCCAAAGCAGCCTTGTAGTTGTCTGGCTTCATCTGTGCTGGCCGCAAGGCCTTGAGTTGATTGATCAGTTTTGACAGTGGATGCCATTAGTTTGGGACCCGCAGTTTCGGGATGATTTACTGAGGGAATGTCAGATTCTCATAGTTTCCCGGACGCCATCAGCTTTAACCAGGGACGTTCAAATACGACAATTCTCACTTAAGTGGGTTGAGCCGGGTCGCATTCTCACTTGCATCTTTGCCAAGCATGAGCGAATAATGGAAACAAATCCAACCAAACCCTGGTCAGTCATATATGGAGTCATAGGGAAACAGAACACAAAACAACATGAATCTAAACAAACAACATTAAACTCTACGGAACCTAACTTCATACCCTTCCAGCACCCTCGCATGCGCAAGCCATGCGCAAGCCCCAGACCGGCTTGAAGCCCGCGGCCAACTGCCAAAAGGAGTTCTTCCTCACAAATAACGTTTCCTCTTACAGGAAGAGCAAACATGGTCCCCACGAAGAAACAGCCCAGTCGAGGATGAATGATATTGAATCGATCTATAGAGTGGCCATATGCCCAAATGCTTCCCTTCCAAGTGGAAAAATAAACGATTGAATCGCTCTACAGAGTGTCCAATCATTGGAGCAGTCCGTGCCATGCACAACCCTCATTTTGCTTCGGGGCTCTGTTCCTTCCGAAGGCCGGCCCGACGGCAGTCCTCGTAGACGGATCGATACTGAGAACCTCGGCCAAGACGCCAAGTATTAAAACGAAAGTCTGGTGGGTCCGTGCAAAACAAATGCAACATGTATACAGTAAATTACTTAACCTATATAATAGCAATGGCCTCCAACCTACTAGCGATGGCCTCCAATCTAGAAGCAATGGCCACCAACCTAAACAAGTGCAACATGTTGTGGAACATGGTGCAAAAAGACTCACATGGGCTTTCTCCACGGTACCTCTGCAAATGGTTTCATTCGTGACAGGTCTCAGAAATGGCAGTTTACACCATGTTCACACCATGTTACACCGTGAAACCTGTTAGCCGGATCTCCTCTGGATCGACCTGGTCACCCCCCTTCACCAGCGGAGCATTTGCAGCTTGGCAGCCAATGGTTCCGAGAATTGAAGCAAGATCGGCACCTGAAGGGCAAAATGTGAGGAAAACGGCCAAGCAATATCAAGCAAATCGCCTTCTTTGATTCCATTCTTGAAGCTTCTGCTTTCAATCTGCAATAGTAATCTGTGGACCAAGGCAATATTGCGCACATGCTGTTGTCTTTCCATGTTTGATGCATCAATCCCACCAAGAGGTGCCCTGCATCGGCAGCCACTACCCCACTGAACATGCACGAAACAATCATTCCCTCCGAGGGCGCGGCCAAGAGCGGCGCAAGATCTTTGACCATGGCCTCGCTGGCCACGACGAAGCAGCCCAAAGGCCTGAATCTGAAGAACTGGGACCACATGGAACCGAAACAAGGCACACGAAAAGTGTTCCCAGGCACTGTAGTCCAGTCTTCGAGAGGTACTCAGGGTGCGATGGATTTGAGTCTTGTGAGGAAGAACCTTCTGACTCCAATCAAACAATTGTTGTTCGGTAGCATGTACCGGATTCAATATTCACAAAGTGTACCGCTGTGTGCGGTGGTCAGGGAAGTGAGTTTTAATCAGAACTTCCGGAAGTCTGGATTGCCATGACTCTGCAGATCTTGGCTACAAAGGTTGTTGAATCTGTCACACAAGCAAGCACCGCATGGGCACAGCAGCTTAACATCAGCTCACAACACAATAATAGCAACAATAATCCTCCATAGATAAGTCACTGCCCAAGGGCACACCATTTTGATATGACTTTCCTATTTCGTCGAAAGGACTTGGAAAACACAATTACCAAGTTTTCTGAGATATGACAATTACCAAGTCATCAAACAAATTGGATCCAAACACTCCGCTCCAAGTTTTCTGAGTCCCCCGCTCCAAGCCAGCCGGCAGCAGCTTTCGCACCGCCGAGGCGTGCTGGGCGGATGCGGACTCTGAGAGAGTGTCTTGGGCATATTTCCTGGAAGAATAGGGAGCGTGCTTGCAAACTGTGTCCAAACACGAGTGATCACGCCATTACGCCGTTACGGTGTTGGACACATTGCCTCCTACGCCACTATGACGATACGTCAGTCGATACCCCCTTCAGTGTGTCTCGGTGCATCGGTGCGAACGTGCTTTGCAGGCGCAAAGACAAGAAGAGAGAATTACTTGCGTAACAAAACGTTCACCAACAATAGACCATACAACACCGATAACGTACATTAACAAATAGGTGCTATAATGTGCTATATCAATATATGGGGTATATAGATATCTTTTGCATGTTATAGATATAGTTGTGTAGATTTATACTGTAAATAAATAGATAGATAGATAGATACGTTTCATCTCCTCTGTAGTCTGTCGGGTCCCATCGGGTCCCTCTTTCGACCCATCGGTCCCCGCTGGGTTCTGCCTGTTTGGCCCACTCGGTGAAAGAGACACCGTTGGCAGAGGACTTCAGCAGCGACACAAGCTCCTGTTGAAAACGTCTACCCTCCAACTCAGGTGGAAGGAAGTGGAAGGTATGGCCTTTGGGACGACCATTTTCCACTTCCATGTGATGTGTTCGTCGGAGTCTGCGTATGACAGGGATCCATGTGTTTAAAGCAAGCATTTGTCTGTGTCCTGCGCTGCTTGCGATGCCTGCCTGGAATTGGCTTGGTTGGTTTGGTTTGCCTTTTGTTGCTGTTGCTTTGGTCAGTTCATCCTTAAGAGGTTCTTTTCAAGAGCGGAGCTTCGATAAGATTCAAGGATTTGCAATGATTTGCAGACACCCATGAAATTATGCAAACTACCTCTATCCGTATGTATATAAATACATAATATTATACATATACAGATGTGTATATATCAAACGGACATGTCTCAACATTGTTGAACAACAAATACGAGAATTGTGTCTATAATGCATAATCCATTTGCTTGGCAATAAACAATATATATTATATTACATTACATTATATATAATCTATTGATATCTATTGTATATAATTAACTGCTTGCAATATGCTTTTTGACAGCACAGCAATACAACCCCTTCTTGTGCTTCTGAACAAGCTCTCTTTGGTTCTACAAGTCCTTTGGCTGAGTCGAAGGCTCTCCCTCCTGTGACCAATCGTTTCTTCCCACGACTCGGATTGCAAATTCGGATCTCCGTTGTACGATCTCTGGGAATTGTATGCGTTTCAAAGTCGCAACATGTAGCAACTATCAGCCATCAAAGCTTCCACTTGCGAGCATCGCGTGACAGTTCCGAACCCAAACATTGACATGGATAATGGGTCGTCGCAATATACATCACGAGATCATCAGTATCACAGTCATAAAGCACTGCAAGATATCTTGATCAGTCCATCCATGAATGGAAATCTTTGTGTCCAACTTCTACGGACTTGACACTCACAAATTCACCCCAGTGATCATGATTAATTCGGGTTCTGGACCAGTCCACCTAAAACCAGGTGTTCATCAACATGGGGGGCCGCAGTGGTGGGTTCTACAAGACGCACTCGGAGAACTTCTGTGGCCTTTTGCATCCTTTTTCCTTGACCGACAAAAAATCTTCTTCATCCTTCAAGAATCGGGAAGAGTAGATGCAAAGATCTGGTCGCTCTCAGATAATCCTCCACTGGTCGGATCTGTCCTCCTGAGCAAGCTCCGGCGTGGCCGCTGCAAACAGCACATCGCCCAGGCCATCTTCCACCTGGGTTGATAGTGCTCATAGCCAAGGACATGACTCATGTGTCAATCATTGTTGATCCATGGATCCATGATGCATCTCCTTTAAGCAAAGTTCAGCTCGTACTTGTATCAGCTGGTGACATTTTCCATTTGTTGATTTCTTCAAACAGAAGACCTATAGCTCTGCTGCTCATTGGGCCATGCACTGCCTCCTCTCTTTCTGGGACATCAGCTGGCTGGCCCAGCAAAAGCCCGAACCGCACAGGCGTCCCATGTAACCTGCCAGTTGAAACGGCGTTTTTGTGAGTGAAACACAATGTGAGCTCTGTTTACAAACACATGTTCTTTGCAGTAATCGGTGACTAGAACAAGCAAATTGAGTCCTGCTTGATTGGTCATTTAAACACAAAACAAAAACATACCCCAAAGGAACAAACAAAGCCTAAAAAGTTCATCCTGGTC